ATCCTTTTAAAATGGTTTATCTCTATTAGATAATGAATAAGATGATGTTTAGCCAATCAGATTATTTCCTTGGAGAGCTTGGAATGGTAGTCTTGGCAACATGGTTGGATATCAGTAGAAGTGAAGATGTGGAATCTTAAGCAGAATCTAAGAATGGTGGACACTCCAGAACTGTAGATGTGTATAGTTCAACTGTGGGGGAGTCCTCTCTAGCTCGCAAAGCAATCAAGGCATTTTGTCTCACAGTCTTTTGTGACAGATAGGAAAAGGGTCTTTTATGAGAGTCTTCTCTACTGCTGAAAACTACTATTAATTCTGATAAATCATGCACATAATGGATTCAGGTCATCCTTTTATTAGGCAGCCTTATTCTGCTTATCAGTGTTCGCAAGAACAAACTTGAGGGCTATGATGGAGTTCTTTAAAGAAAGGGAAGTAGATCTCAAAACCATTCAGTGTAGGTGAAACTCTGTGCCACTGGGGGTTCCTTGGGTATATAAAGAAAGTACCTTCTGGACTAAGACTTCTGTAAAGATGGTGCTCCCATGAGTTGCTCTCTCTCTCTCGTTTTTCAAGGCTCTCAGCCCAGTATCCTACCCTTCAAACCAGAAACAATCCCCTTTCTCAAGAGTGGAGGAAGTTGTGCCTTTTGCTTGAATAGCATCTCAGGTTTCCTCTCCGCAGCCCCTTCTGGAAGGAGAGGAAATGGGTTCCAGTCCAGGGGGCTGATTCCTTAGTAATGATATTTATAAGCAAGCCCCTTGTCAATATAGCACTTTATTTTAGTCCTCTGTTACAGAGGGCTATGTATTTATGGCAGATTAATCATAGTCGGCCATATACAAAGCCCTTATCTTATTTTGTTTTACTGATTTATTAACTTTTATCCCCATAATCAACTCCTATCCATCTCTCACATAGGCAACTCCTACGATGTTTAATTTAACTCCTATGATGTGTCTTGTCACCCAGGTAGTGAGCATAGCATATAATAGGTAGTTTTTCAGCCCTTGCCTCCCTCCCTCTCTCCTGAATCTAGTAGTCCCCAGGGTCTATTGTTCCCATCTTTATGTTCACATGTACCCAAGGTTTGTCTCCCACTTGTAAGTGAGAGCATGTGGTATTTGGTTTTCTGTTTCTGCATCAGTTGTCTTAGGATAATGACCTCTAGCTGCATCCATGTTGCTGCAAAGGATGTGATTTCATTCTTTTTGATGGCTGCATAGTATTCCATGGTATATGTGTACCACATTAAATGTGTATATATTTTAAGTGGTTTTATGTTATTTATCTGATTCTGTTGCTTATTTTAAAAACTAGCACGGGTTTTTTTTTTTTTTAAAGTCAACTTTTTTGAGGTGTGATTTATATAAAATATAATGTGTCAATTTTGATGAGTTTTGACATCTGCATATAGAACATTTTCATCACCCTGAAAGTTCCCTCATGCCCCATCTCAGTCAATGCCCACTTCCTCCCACCAGCCCCAGGCAACTACTGATCTGTTTTTTTGTCACTGTAGATTACATTTGTGTTTTCTAGAGTTTCATGTGAATAAGCTTGTTCAGTATGTTCTTTTTTGGTCTAGCTTTTTTCACTCAGGTTAATGCTTTTTAAAAAATGTTTATTATTATTTTTATTTTTATTTTTTTGAGACAGAGTTTCACTCTTGTTGTCTAAGCTGGAGTGCAGTGGCACGATCTTGGCTCAGGCTCACTGCAACCTCTGCCTCCTGGGTTCAAGCAATTCTCCTGCCTCAGTATACTGAGTAGCTGGGATTACAGGTGCCCGCCACCACGCCCGGCCAATTTTTGTATTTTTAGTAGAGACAGGGTTTCACCATGTTGACCAGGCTGATCTCGAACTCCTGACCTTAGGTGATCCACCCACCTCGGCCTCTCAAAGTGCTGGGATTACAGGTGTGTGCCACCGCGCCCAGCCTGCTCTTTAGGTTCATGCATATGTTGCATAGCAGTGGTTAATTCTTTGTTGCTGAATAGTATTCTATTACATGAAGATACCAGAATGTGTCTGTTTACTAATTAATGGACTTTTGGGTTGTTTTCACTGGTGGTCAATAAAGTTGCTATGACAATTCAAATTTTGGCGTGGATGTTTATCTTTGATAAATATGTAGGAGTAGAGTTGTTTGGTTGTGTGATAAGTGTATGTTTAACTTTAAAAGAAACTGTTAAACTATTTTTCCAAAGTGAAGATACCAACAAAATCAGCAATAATTTTGTTTAATTTTTTTTTTTTTAACAATTTTTTTTTTAAATAAAGGAGGGGTCTTGCTATGTCATCCAAGCTGGTCTCAAACTCCTGGCCTCAAGTGATCTGTTTGCCTTGGTACATTTTTTTTTTTTTTTGAGACAGAGTTTCACTCTTATTGTCCAGGCTGGAGTGCAGTGGCATGATCTCAGCTCACTGCAACCTCCGCCTCTCAGGTTCAAGCGATTCTCCCGCCTCAGTCTCCCGAGTTGCTGGGATTACAGTCGCTCACCACCACATCTGGTTAATTAGTAGAGATGAGGTTTCACCATGTTGGCCAGGCTGGTCTCGAATTCCTGACCTCAGGTAATTCACCGTCTCAGCCTCCTAAAGTGCTGGAATTATAGGCATGAGCCACCATGCCCAGCCAGTACATTTTTATATAGTTGAAAACAATCAAGTTTCATTTAGAGATGTGAAAATTATACAGAATTTAAACTTGAGCGTCTATAAATAAGTTTATTTGGAATACAGCCACACTCATTTGCTTATATATTGTCTGTGGGTACTTTTGTCCGATAACTGTAGGGTTGAGTAGTTGTGATAGCTGCGGCCTGCAAATCCTAAAATATTTACCATCTGGGCTTTACAGAAAAAGCCTGGTGACCTCTGGTCCAGAGCATTAATTTTTCTTCAGACAACAAGAAAATTTATCTTGTCTTTTTTTTTGTTTTCGGAGACAGAGTCTCTGTCGCCCTGGCTGGAGTGTGGTGGTGCAATTTTAGCTTATTGTAACTTCGACCTCCTGGGCTCAAATGATTTTCTTGCCTCAGCCTCCCTAGTAGGTAGGACTACAGCTTTGCCTCACCGTGCCCGGTTATTTAAAACTTTTTTTTTTTTTTTTGGTAGAGATGGAGTCTCATTATGTTGCTGAGGCTGGTTTCAGATTCTTGGCTTCAAGCAATCCTCCCACCTTAGCCTCCCGAATTGTAGAGATTACAGGCAGGAGCCTCTGCTCCTGGCTTGGTGTTTTCTTCCATGTTAGAAAGAAGATATTCCTCTTTTTGGTTTGTCTTTGCTTCTGTCCATTTTGAAATGATAGACCTAGGCCAGGTGCGGTGGCTCATGCCTGTAATCCCAGCACTTTGGGAGGCCGAGGTGGGTGGATCACCTGAGGTCAGGAGTTCGACACCAGCCATGGCCAACATGGTGAAACCTCGTCTCTACTAAAAATACAAAAAATGAGCTGGGTGTGGTGGCGCGTGTCTGTAGTCCTAGCTACTCGGGGAGCTGAGGCAGGAGGATTGCTTGAACTCGGGGGGCAGAGGTTGCAATGAGCTGAGATGGTGCCACAGCACTCCAGCCTGGGCAACACAGCGAGACTCTGTCTTTAAAAAAAAAAAAAAAAGAAGAAGAAAGATAGATCTTACCATTATTGTCCTAAAAAGCACTTGACTCTTTCCTGATCTATCTGCTGGCCTTATGTATAAGTTAGCCATTACTATGTAATATTCCACTCCCAACCTCAGTGGCTTAAAACAGCACTCCTTTATATTTGGCTAGATTGCCTTGCTGAGGCTGGAGTGACTGGGACAGCTGTATTTCTCACTGTAGATCTGTGAGTCACCTGGAGTAGCTCCGCCCCACATATGTCTCATCCTCCTTGGACCACTGGGCCGTGTTCTTCTCATAGTGATGGCAGAGGCACAGAAGGACAAATGAAAACATTCATCATCTCTTAAAACGTAGGCTCACAGCTGGCACACTGTCACTTCTGCCCACATATCACTAGCCAAAGAAAAGCACATGCCAAGGCCAAAGCGAAGGGACAACAAAATAGAGTTCTTCTAGGATGAGACCTTGACAAACGTGTGAATTCAAGTAGGGGTGAAGAAGGGCCAAGATTGCAATCCACCATTTCTTTCTTTCTTTTTTGAGACAGAGTCTCGCTCTGTCGCCCAGGCTGGAGTGCAGTGGCGCGATCTCAGTTCACTGCAACCTCCGCCTCCCGGATTCAAGCTATTCTCCTGCCTCAGCCTCCCGAGTAGCTGGGACTACAGTGGCCTGCCACCACACCTGGCTAATTTTTTGTATTTTTTTGTAGAGAGCCAGGATGGTCTCGATCTTCTGACCTTGTGATCCGTCCACCTCGGCCTCCCAAAATTCTGGGGCAATCTACCATTTCTTTTAAGAAAGACCAAGCTGGGCATGATGGTTCATGCCTTTAATCCTAGCACTTTGTGAGGCCAGGGCAGGAGAATTGCTTGAGACAAGGAGTTCGAGGTTCCAGTGAGCTATGATTGTGCCACTGCACTCCAGCCTGGGTGACAGAACAAGACTCTGTCTCAAAAAAAATAAATAAATAAAAATAAAAAAGACCACAACAATGATAAATGGCTTTTCTTTTGCTACCTATGAGGGTGTTACTTGTTCCTATTAAACATGTACTGTTAAAAGTAAGGGCTATGGCTTTCCTGCTCATTCCACTCCATGAATTCTGACATTCTGGTTTCCAGTGCTGATGGCCATGCAGCTATTAAGGTATTTTCCCCTGCTCTGCCCTTCATTTGGTATTATAAGGAATCATCATCATATGGGACATCCTAAGATGCCCTTGTTGCTGGGAAGAAGCCAAGGCACACAGAAGTATCACTCCTTTTTTGTCTTACCTCTTTTTTTCTCATTAATGAAAAACAAGTTAGTGATGAAACTATTTTCCCCCTTCTTGCTTCTCCAGCTGTACTATAAAATTCTTCAAAGGCAAGGCTGTATCTTCTCTTTGTTAACCTCCCTTCCGCTCTCCCAGCCTCCTCAGTCAGTGTGGTTGATATTTTCCTTGCCTACTTGTCTGATCTCAATGACTGTTCCTGTTCTGCTTCGCTGATCTTGGCTCTGCCATGCTCCTCAGGGCAATAAATACCAGTCTGGACTGCCCAGAATGGAGTCCTCTGTCTGTTTTACCAGTTGAGAAGCCTCCTATCCCTCCCTGATCACTCGTCATTCATGAAACTCCTTCTTCTGCTTTTGACTGTTACCCTGCTCCTGGCCCAGGTCACCCCAGGTAAACAGGATCTCCAGAAGGGGATGGGAGTCAGGGAACCCGATGCATGTTCAGAGAACTCTGGGGGCTCTGACAGGTTGGGCTGGGAGAAAGGCCTGGTAGAGCTCACTGAGGCCTTTAGGTAGTCCCTCTAGTCATGGGGAAGTTTGAGTTCTCTGGTACTAAATGATCTTCCCAGTGCCCAGTACTTGACCACTCCAACCTTATCTCTGGTTAGCTCTGGAAAATCTGAACATGATGACCTGAGGAGGGGATAGAGTGTAAAGAGAGAGACTTGAGTATGGAGTATAGAGAAAATGGGGACTTTTTCAAAAACCTTTCTTGAAAGGATTTGAATTTCGATCTGTTGTTGCCTCTAGGAAAATGGTTCTCAAATTTCTGATTGTTTGAGGATTCTGATTCCACTTTTTTATGCAACCTCAAATTATCTGGGTTGCCCTAGGTTGTAGGTTCCCCAGAGTAGCTGTTCCTAATTCCCTTAACTGGTTGGGGCCAGAGAAAAGTCCCAGGATGTTGTGAAGAAGGCAGTATGATGTTCTTGGGAGTTTTACAGGTGCCCTAGAAGCCTTACAGATGTTCAAATGAGTTTATTTAATATTCCTGTCACCTTTCATTGATATGGTCAGAGGGGATACCGAAGAACAACGAGAAAAGGTGGCTAATTGCTACTGGGCACCTGGGTACATTATAATATGGGGGAGATAAAACCCTTGGGAGAGGGGTCCTCTTCCCCCTCCCACGGAGCTGGCCAAGTGGGGGAAGCTACCCAGTAGGTCCCATGCCACTGAGTTGGGGGAACTCTGGGGGTTCTAAGAGGGGCATGAGTGAAGGAAGAAAGTGTAGTGGTCTATAATCTCCCTTAAGCTTAGGGGATCCTGTGTAAGAGTTTCTTCCCTCACAGACTTCCTCATTTCCCTTCTACTCCTCTACTGGGCTTTAGCCCCTCCCTTTCCCACCTTTCTGCTTTCTTTCAAAACTGACCCTGTTCTCTTCTTCCCTTTTGTTTTCAGTCATGAAATGTTGGGGTAAGTCAGGCAGGTGCAGAACAACATGTAAAAAAACTGAAGTATACTATATATTATGCAAAACTGAGGCTAAGTGCTGTGTGGATCCCAAGTATGTACCTGTAAAATCAAAATTAACAGACACAAATACAAGCCTGGAATCAACTTCTGCAGTCTGACACCTCTCTTCCAACCTTGAGCTTCAACATCATGGGATCCTGCATCATGGGATCCTAGGAAGAACAGACTGGACCAGTAGGTGGTAATAATCTAAACCTTGCAAATAGCTCCTAGTCTGCTGACCCATAGCTGGTCCCAGAGGGTATGAATTAAAGAATATTCATTATATCTACCTGATTCCTGTTTTCTTCTAGACCAGCACTGCCAATAGAACATTCTGCCATGATGGAAATATTTCCTATCTGTATTGTTCAATATGGTAGCTACTAGCCACATGTGGCTACTGAGCACTTGAAATGTGCCCAGTGTGAATGTGGACCTGAAGTTTTAATTTGATTCAATCTAGCTTTAAATTTATATAGCTAAATGTCGCTAGTAGTGATTGTATTGTACAGCAATGGCTTTAGAGTCTAGGCTGAGGCAGGCTGTGGGTCCCAATCTATGCGTGTTTCAGGAGAGTCCAGGAGGCAAGCAAGAGTCTATGATGAACACAAGAACCCATTCTTGGCCCATGGATTCTCTCTACTCCCACACCAAAGGCTGTAACTTTCCCTTGATCATGCCTGCAGTTCTGCCCCTCAGGGGCTCTAGGGCAATGCCTCTTGTGAGTCTTCCTCATGGTGGAGAGTGCTGGTATCAGGCCATCTGTGGATCCTTGCTCCATCTCTTTGCATTCCCTCTAGTTGTGGCCATGGGACATTAAACTGGCTAATCATTTTCCAGGACTGATCCTGAACTGAGACAACAGGAATTTTACAACATGCAGCCCCATGATCCCAAGTATCCCCAACTCTTGCTAGTTATCTGACTAATCTAAAAGAACTTGATTCTTTATCCTGAGTTGAAAAGTTCTACTTGGAGTCACCCGCCTCCTCTTCAGCCCTTTCATACTGGATCCCTGACCTGGTTTCAGCCTCATGTCCCCAGTTCATCTTCCTGATGACAAACTTCAGCCTCAGTGTCAGTGTCTAAGTGTCACCAAAGCTGTCTAGGGAAGCGCGTTTGATGTAGGATCAGAAGATCTGGGGTCAAATCCTTGTTTAATCACAGGTCAGCTACATGACCCTAGGCAAGCCATTTAACCCTCTGTGCTCTATTTTCTCGTCTCTAAAATGGGGAACTTTCCTACTCAAGGCATAGGGATGTCATGAGAATTAAATGAGATAACAGACAGGAAAGTGCCCAGCACAGAATCTAGCGCACATTCAGTTCTTGATAAGTGTAAGTAGAATCTAGGTTGATCTCATTTTGTAATTTTCTACTTCTGGCTCTGCATAGCAATTCTTTGCCTGGAAAAAGTTAAATCCTCCTTCACTACGTTGCCACCAACTCCTACTTCTCAGAGTTAATAACTCTTAGAGTTGAAGTAAAACCCTGTACCCTGCCATTTTTTCACTAATCGTCTTACCCTCCTGACTCAATTTCTGTCCAGCCTAGCCCTGTAATGTTTCTCTTGCAGACTCAGCTCCCTTGCTCTACTCTGCATGGTATCAAAGCCAAACTCCCAACCATGGTAGAATATAACCATCTACTTGCCTTCTCTATAGGTAAACTTTATTTTTCGAGACAAGATCTTACTCTGTTACCCAGACTGGAGTGTAGTGGTATGATCATAGCTCATTACAGCCTTAACCTCCTGGACTCAAGGGATTCTCCTGCCTCAGCTTCCCAAGTAGCTTGGACTACAGGTGTGTGCTACCACTCTTGGTTGTTAATTTTTTTTTTTTTTTTTTTTTGTAGAGATGGGGGCCTTGCTATGTCGCCCAGGCTGGTCTTGAACTCCTGTCCTTAAGTGATCATCCTCCTGCCTTGGTCTCCTTAAAGGTTGGGATTACAGGTGTGAGCCACTGTGCCTGACCTATAGGTCAGCAGCTGATCATTCTTAGAAAAAATAATCCAACTAGTCTCACTGATTTCACTGGAAATTCAGGGCCTTCAACCTCAAAGGTCACTCAACACGGCCCAGCTAATCTCCTGTTTTTCCCTAAGAAGCTTGATTTCTCATTCTTCGAAATAACTAGCCCATGATTTTTCCTCTCTCCTCAATCTTCTACCATTCCCTGTCCCCACTAAAATATCACTCCTTGCCTCATATTTCAAGAAAATAGAAACCAACAGAAGCAACTCCTTCATCTTCTCTCTACTAAGTCTACACACTCTGGTATTGGGTCCTACAGCTCCTGTCTTCCTTTTGTTTACAGTGGAAGAATGATATCTACTCCTGAGGAACCGGCCCCTTTACTTGTCCACATTTGTCTCCTCTCCCCTACTCAAGAATTTCACATTCATTTATTCTCCTTATTCTACCCTTCTCTTCCAGATCATTTCTATCATACAAAGATGCTCGAGTATCTCCCAGATTAAAAAAAAAAAATCCCTGAGTCTCACATTCCTCTCTGGACAATGCCTCATTTATTTGCAGTGCTTAAAAAATTACTTCTCAGAATGTCGCCTGCCTTCACTTTATCAATTTTTTCTCATTCACCTTTCAACTCAGTTCAATTTGGTTTTGACTGTGTCACTGAACCTTTTCTAGTAAAGATTACCAACTATCTCCAGTGTTGCCAAATCCAACAGAGGCACCCCTGTTTTCCTCCTGTCGACCCCTGAAGAGGTGTTTGACATAGAGGCCATGACATCCTCATTGAAATGCTTTCTTCTCTTGCCTTCTAAGATGGCAGACTCTCCTGGTTTTCCTCTGATCACCTGGGCCATTCATTTTCAGTCTTCTGTCCTGGCTCCTCCTTCCCTTTCCAAAGGTCAGGACTTGTTTCTAGGCTCCTTTTGTCTTTTCTCTCTGTTCTTTTTCACTAGGTACTTTGGATACCCTCTATATGCTGATCACTTTCAAATTCATAGCTCCTACCCTAAACTTTCTCTAACGTCTAAACTGGTGTATCTTCCCCCTTAAATGACATCTCCATCTGGTTACCTAATATATCAGAATGGAACTCCCAGTGGGGACCTCACCTCACCATGCCTTGTTAGTACCCCGCTATTTCCCTTCTTAGTAAATGGTAACAACGTGTGCCCAGATGCACCAAACCTACAAGTCATGTGTGATTCCTCACTTCACCTCCCTACATTCAATTTCTCAGCAAGTCCTGTGGCTCTGCCTTCAAAATGCATATCAAAACTATCCATTTCTTTCCATCTAGTTCAGGCCACTGCCATTTTCACCTGATCTTTTACAATAGTCTCCTGTTTTCTCTAATTAATTTTCCACATAGCAGCCAAATGGTAAATTATTTTCATTTTTTTCAGATCTAGTCCTAAATCCAGAAAGGTAAATGATATCCTGTCACTACTCTGTTTTGCACTAAACCATGGCTTTCCATTTCATTAAGAATAAAATCCAGACTCCTTGCCATGGACTGGGAGGCCCTGCCCTACCAGGCCTTGTTCACTTCTCTGGCCTCCTCCTTATACTTAGGTCACCCAGGTTTCCTTTCGGTTCCTTGATGTCAACAAGCTCTTTTCTTGTCTCAGGGCCTTGCTACATGATGTTCCCTCTTCCCAAGAAGACTCTGATGTTTATATGGCTGTTTTTGTCCTATCCTCCAGGCCTTAATTTAACTGTCATTCTAGATTATTGTATCTAATGAAGTCCTTTATGTCACTATGCAAATGTATGTCCTAGCACTTCTCAAAAATCAGTAATTATTTTGTTCATGTACTTGTTTCCTGTCTCTCTTCCAGGAGAATTTGGGTTTTATGATTGCAGGGACCTTGTTGGTTTTGCTCACCATTCCATGGTGCCTGGCACACTGTCAGAACACAATCAGTGTTTGCTACCTATATGAATAGTTACACTCCAAGGATGATCACTTTCCCACTCAAACACGTTTTCCTTTTCAAGTTCTTGTGTTTAACCATTACCTGAAACTCAAGCCTTCTTTTTCCACCCATGTTTTACTCTCCATGATTTAGTAAAACTCCTCTTTCCTTGATGTGGATGGTCTGAGGAGGAGTGGTGCAGCGTGAGTTTAAGGGACCTTACGGAAGGGGGCAGTCTGAGATATCCAAGCACTTCTTTTTGAGGTTATGATGAACATTAGATTGAAGAAGAAAGGACTTTCTTCAATCTGGACATTCAGGGGTTTGAGTACATTATAGAACATAACTAGCAATGGGAGTGGGTGGGAAGGGAGGGGTGGAAAATACTGTTTGCGCCCAAACTGGAGTTATCTAAATTCTGGTTACATTTACATGAAGCCTTTGTTCTATATTTTGAGTACACAAAGACCTGTCTGTGTATGGACAGTCATTCAAGAATCTGAAGGCAGCCCGGGTGTGGTGGCTGACACCTGTGATCTCTGTACTTTGGGAGGCCGAGGCACGTGGATCACTTGAGGTCAGGAGTTCTCAAGTTCACCAGCCTGGCCAACATGGTGAAACCTTATCTCTAGTAAAAATACAAAAAATTAGCAGGGTGTGGTGGTGGTCACTTGTAGTCCCAGCTACTTGGGAGGCTGAGGCAAGAGAATCATGTGAACCCAGGAGGCGGAGGTTGCAGTGAGCTGAGGTCGCTCCACTGCACTCTAGCCTGGACAACAGAGCGAGACTCTGTCTCAAAAAGAAAGAAAGAAAGAAAAGAAAAGAAAAGAAAAGAAAAGAAAAAAGGAAGAGAGAGAATCTGATGGCAGCTCTATGCTGTCTTGAGACTGACTTTGTATGTTCATTTCTTGACTTCTCACATCAAGTCAGCCATCGAGGCCCCCTGATTCTTCCCCTGTGATGTTTTGATGCAAACTTTACTCTCTTCACTCTTTTTGGAACTGCTATCTCAGCGCAGTCCCTCATTAGCAGTCTCCCTCCTTTTTCCCATATTTGAGGCCTTCTATCCTGAGTTTTGCTGCTGTTCCTCTAGTCTCTCTGCCAGGTCAGATTTTCCCACGTTCTGGCACCCAATCTCACAAGAGTTCCTTACTGAATATAGCAACATTCCCTCAACATATTTGAAGATGAAACACCTTACATTTATTATTGGATGTAATGTAAGAGTTCATTAGAGAGGAATTTAAGCAAAAAGGATAATTTCTT